TATCATGGATGGACCTCATGGCAGAGTGGATAACCATGCTCGGTACTGACTGGAAGTATCTTCGGGGTATGACCCATTGACTGGACCTTGGTACCCTTATCATCGCCTGCCCCGCCACTTCTGTCAGCAGTTGTCATGACTAACTGCTAGTTATCTAGTCAGTCACTAACTGGTATAATCAAGTATCATCACCCATACGCTCAAGTTGGGCCCCTAACATTGGCCCTTGGAGATGCGTCAGGTACCAACGAAACACGGACCCATCTGATGATCAGGAGGATGTCAAGACTCAAAGCTACTAACTATAGAGTGACCACGGGAAGCCAGCCTTCAAACCAGAATGGGGAAAGCAAAAAGAGAATATTCCAATTACCAGCTCACCCACCCCCCAGACATCTGTCATCTTCCGTAGATAAAATGTTCCCCGCACCACCCACCTATTCAGAAACCTTCCCAGAGTAAAAGGTCCAAAGGGTAGGTTTGTTGTTATTACTGATCCCTCTCCGCATGAAGGAGGCTGGTCAGACACAGGCGGAGGTTGGGAGGCCTGGTCCAGCGCGTCCACAGCTCCCTCTTATATCCCTTAGTTTTACATCATAATAATCATCTGTGCTTCTTTTGAGCCAGGAAGAGGTGTATTTATCGGAGCCAGTTTTATGGAATACTACGTTCTCCGGATACTAATACGGAGTATAACCACAATGTATTTACAAATGAAAACAGCGGCGGAATTTCGATCTCCTTCTATGACCAGCCGCGAACCAAAAATTATGCAGTGGATGAAAAACAATCCCTACACACAATGGTTGCAGACATTGCATAACTAAATGATAAGAGTAAGAAAAATAACGTCTCCCCATCCCGGTCCCATTACGCCATGCCCCAAATCCAGAAGAATGTCTTTGACACCTGCTCACTCACTCCGTGACTAGCTCGGACCCGCCCCAGGTGGTTCCAACCCAAACCCCGTAGTTATATAAATAGCACCACCAGCCAACCAACCAACCAAACCAACCGCCCACCAACACCCGCAGCAAGCAGCAACAACAGCAACAAGCAACAAAAACCCTCCAATCACCACCCAGTCCCAATTTCCACTATTCATGCACAAAACTCAGTTTGAAGAACCACATGCAGTCCAACCACCGGACTGGCGTTGAGACAAGCTTAACCTCCTCAATAGCAGAGGCTAGCAGGCCAGCTCATCCTTGGCGCTGCTGCTGCATCAGTCGATTGGCCTAACCGATTTATCACCCTTCATCATCGCTGGAAGCAGAGAATGGATCGAAAAACGCTTTCCCCAATCAAAGATGAACTTGGGAAAAACACTCTGACATTCCCTCTCCGCTTACACTAATTTACTATCTCCACATCTCCTGAGGACATCAATAAAACCGAAATATATATATTTTATGAAAAAAATTAAACTATATTATATTATGAAATTAAATTATTTTCTTTTTATATATTAATAATAATAAAATTACTACATTATTATAAAATTTATATTTATCAGTATAGTACAAAAGCTTCAAATTTATAATGAAATATACTTTTATTAAATTGATTATTGAAAAAAGAAATAAAACTTCAAACTTTTATTTATATAATTTTCATACTGATAGCTATTTAATTTAAATTCTATGTATTATTACTTTTTTATTGTGAATTAAAAATTATTTATATTTATATATTTTAAAAGTTTAATTATATATTTTTTAAATATTTTAAAAAATTTTTATATAAATTAAATTTAAATATAAATTAATTAAATAAATTATAATTATTATTTAATTAAAAATAATATATTAAAAATATATATAATTAAAATAATTAATTAAATAGATAAAAATAAATAAAAATTATTATTATTATTATTATTATTATTATTAAAAATTTATATAATTTTTAAATTTAATATATATTTATAATATTATTTATTAAATATTTTAAATTATTAAATTAAATATAAAAATAAAATTTTTTTATAATTATTAAATACTATTATTTATGTATTTATTATTTATTATAATTTATATTAAATAAATATAAATTTTTATTTTATATTAATTTTAAATTATATTATAATAATTAATAATTTTTTTATAGTAATATAAATAAAATAATAAAATTATATATTATATATTAAAAATTTATTTAAAAATAAAAATAAAATTTATATAAAACTTTATTAATAATAATATAAGAATTATTAATTTTATGAAAAGAAATATTTCAATTAAACTCTTATATTATATTAAAATTTATTACTATAGTTTTACACTAAATAAGATAAGACATAATTATTGTACATAAGCTTTATAGTAAATAAGGCATATATATTCATAAAGCCTTTAATAAAGTCTGCTGGCTGAGCATAGAATCAGGAGACAAGGGGCCACCTCACAAAAGAGAAGCTAAGATGGTGATCTTATTTTAATGTTGTTGATATCCCGTTTCTTGCACCGAGAATGCTTATTAGACATCTTGGCATCAACTACGCTTGCCCCAGTAGATCTTCCCCTCGGCACTACATAGCAGGAGAAACAAAGCCCACGCACAGGATGCAATGGTCGCTTGGATCTTCGGACCAGTGTACTTCTGGTCATTAATTACCTATCAATGGCCATGTCATGCAGGTTTTACGTGGTGACACGAAAAGCAAGTGAAGCGCATGACTTCACCGAATCTTGCCATGCCATGACATCAAGCGAGGATTTTTCTTACACTTTGCTCATCTCCTTTCTCTTCCAGACCCCCCCTCGCTATAAATCCCAATCCACCTCAAAGAAGATATTTCTATTCCGTACCGCAGTTTAGTCTTCTTCATCTTGGCAGAATCAGATACCATAACCTTTGACGATGTGGATCCCACACCGCCCGTCGAAGCCCTGAAAAGCTATTCAAACCGGGAAGCAAGCGTGATGACATCCACCACGCCATCTGAAAGGAAAGATGTCGAGGGGCATGATAGGCGCAAAGTGAGCGCACGGGAAATATTCACTGAGCAAAACCTGTGGTCTTCAGGAAAGAGGCGTATGTAATTGTGATTATTAGATTCACATGGTCTTCCAAGAAGACAGAAAAAACGGAGGAGTGCGCCTGAAGGGGACGTCAGGACCGAGTGGGCATTCGGGAATGCCGCGAACTCACCGTCCGATTGTTTGCTTTTTTATACTTTGAGCTTGTGGATATTTAAAAACTCTTTATTTTACACGCCTGCCGATCTTTCTTTCCTTTTCTTCTTCAACATTCTTAACTGTAGATAAAAATGATCTCTAAAAAGTGAGTTTGTAATTGGCTAACGCCCGGGTGATAATCTTTCGTAACCAAAACTCTTCTCCCGGACTATTCTTCTTCCCGCCTGACCCATATAAAACTCCGTGCCCATAAGCTTTCATTCTGTTCTCTTTTTCTTTTCTTTTCTCCTTCTGGCGAATTCGTCCTTTTTGTTATAAGGAAGTGCTAGGGCCGTATTCGGTAGCACGCCCGTTACACGCAGTCACTAGATGTGAAGCTGCTTTGAACTTTAAAACAAGTATACAAATAAAGTGGTAAGAATTGCATGAGATTAGAGATCAATGATATTGACAGGAGGAAATTTTTAGCACTTTATTCTGCAGTTAAAAAGAAGATACTCAAGAACTCTACTGTTAAGAATGAATTTAAAGACACTGATCTAGTGCTGTATGAGGTGAATAAGATTCTAATATAT